ACCACTATTTCGCCTTAATCCACTTTCCAACTTTATGCGGTTTACTGTAGCTACGACTTGGGCTTGAACCCCAAAGCTAGCTGGAAACTCCCGGCTCCGCTCCCAAACAATCCAAAAGCCAAGCAATACGGTTGATGAGATATAAATCCAGCATTACCCGTAACAAGGAATATACCATAATTCCCACAGTCTAGGGCCATGAAGGTAATGCAGGATTTATATCATCAACCGTATCTCTCAAGATTTCACAGGGGCTTAGACGGCTCTGGAACCTAAAGCCAAGCCCCGAAACCCAACAACAACCCAACAAACTAAACCCTAACCCTGAACCCTAAACCCTGAACCCCTAAACCCTAAACCCTTCTAACCCAGCAGTCGAAGCTTCCTCCCAAGTCCCTGAAGCACCCACCAGTCTAAAGCAAGCCGATATGGGAGTTTCCGGAAATGAGGGGTATATTATTTGGGGGTCGTTATAACAAGGATCCTACTATTTAGGGTGCTATAAATTAGGGGCCCCTATTTTCGGAAACTCCGATATAGTAAGACCCCCAAACCGGAAAGCTAGCCCCCTACGCACCCGAATATACCAAGCTGGCCACCTAGACTCCAAGCAGCGCAAATTCACAAGTTAGCCCAACCCACTATGCATATATGTACAAACAGACATATATGTATGTGTACATATATATATATATATAGATACGCATATATACATGTGCATACATATATTAATATATATATATATATATATAAGTAAACCATAAACACCCGAACAGTTACAAAGAGCCTGTGGATCGGCTTTGTACATGAGCAAGGCATGCAAAGCCTTCGCCTGGGCTGTCGCTCTGGAGCTCGGAGGTTTCAGGACGTGGATATTTTCTGCTTTTTTTAGGTCTGACCCGTAGTAAACCCTAAACCCCCAAACCCTACACCCCCCATGACCCTCTCTAAACCCTAAACCCTAGACCCCTAACCCCCTGAACCTTCAAACCTAGGTTCTGGCTTTTTCGAAAAAAGTTTCGCGCTCCTGTTTTGAAGCATGACAAGCATTATGCTATTGGTCGACAGGGACACACATTCCGGCTTACTCTACCCTCTTTTGCACCCATAACGACCTACAGTCTCCATTGCAGTTCCTTATTTGGGTTAACCAGAAACTATATTCTCGGATCCTAATCATAAAACTGGTTAACCAAAAACAGGAACTACAATGGATACTATAGGTACCGTCAACCTATACCCTTAACCTTACTGGTGGCTTTGAAGATCTTGCGTGTGGCTGCCGTGGCGGCCGTTCATGCCTCTGTGATTGCTGCCGTTCGGGCCATTGCTTCACCGATGCTTCTCGCAACAGACAACGGGTACTGCCGGTAGGAGTACTACAAGAAGAAGTAGTAGTAGTAGTAGTAGTAGTAGTAGTAGTAGTAGTAGTAGTAGTAGTAGTAGTAGTAGTAGTAGTAGTGGTAGTAGTAGTAGTAGTAGTAGTCGTAGTAGTATGTAGTAGTAGTAGTAGTAGTAGTAGTAGTGGTAGTAGTAGTAGTAGTAGTAGTAGTAGTAGTAGTAGTAGTAGTAGTAGTAGCAGCAGCAGCAGTAGTTTAGTAGTAGTAGTAGTCGTCGTCGTCGTGGTCGTCGTAGTCGTAGTCGTTGTCGTCGTCCTCGTAGTAGCAACCGCTGTGGTTATTGTAACACCGAGCTCCCTTGAGAGCTGTATGCCGGCAACACAAACCAACAGCACCTACCCCTCATGTAAAAGCAGCAATCACAACAAGTACTTGACAAACTTTGCTTCCGAAAATCCGAAGACTAGTTCGTCGTCTCTCTAGAGGTCGGACATGTCTTCGGCCATTTTGTATCCAGATTTGTTAACAGGTCGAGTCTGCATGGGTGTCAGAACGTAAACCCTAAGCCCTCGAAGCCCTGAATGCCCCCTTGTGCAAGGCATGGTCTGGAGACTGGAGAGACTCGAGGTGAGCCTCGCACGTAATCAGAGCCCAAGTGACGCAGCCCCGCTGTGCCGCAGCCGCGGCCGCTTCTGTCGCATCCGCTGAGGCCTGTAGTCGAGGCTGCCACACTTGGGTCCAAGATGTGAAAGCGGGTTTAGGGTTCAGGGTTTAGGGTTTAGAGCTAAGGGGGTCCAAGTTGTAAAGCTGATTGCGCAATTGCTCTGAGGTGATATGTCACACTTGAAGGTGCCCATGATATGGGTTATAAGTATATATAGTTACCCTACTTCTAAACCTACTTATAACTACCCATGAACCTCCAAGTACTTTTTTAGAGTCAACGCTGCTTACGCATGGAGGAGGATGTTCCAACAACGGCTGAGCATGCTTTCAAGTCGGCGCACGGAGGTTGGTGGGGGCTGTGGCTCCTGGGCCGTTGGGGCTTTCGAGATTCACAGCCAGGTTCTCGATTCTGTACACTTCGCCGCAGGCCTAAACCCTAAACCCTTAACCCTAAACCGTACAGTAAACCCTAAACCTTATTACTGTTTCAGCAGCAAAAGCCAAATTATGGGCACAGCTCGCTTCGCTCAGGGCGAAGGCTACGGGCTGTGTTGCATCTGGGGGTTAGGGCTTATAGGGCTTCGGTTTAGCGTCTAGGGTTTCAGGTAAGGGCCTTAGGGTTTGGGGTTTCAAGTTAAGGGTCTTGGGTTTCGGGGTTTCAGCTTTCTCATTTTTAGTTCACTGTGTCAGGGTAGGTTCACGAGGCTGACTTCGAGAATTTCGACCGAGGACCGATTCATCAGCCCAACCAGCTCACCTGCTTACACCTCTGACCAGACTTGAGGGTTTGCGGAACGCCCTCCGAGGCACCTTGATGTGGGCGATTGCGAGTGCTTTTTTGAAGAAGCTTCCTACTCATTGGCGAGAAAGGTTCTAACTTCGTCTGGCCCCCAAAGAGCCGGTAAACATTGGAGTATCTCGGCATGATGCCACTTTCAGGTTAAGTTTCTCTCAAGCCATGAACTCCGGAGATCTGAACTAGTTACTACTACCCTCAGCCCAACGCGTGCAACGTGCAAAGCTACTCCCCTGCTTGAAAGGGGTCCGTGGCAAGCGTGGAAGTCGGAAGAACTCAGCTGAGTGAGGCCCTACTTATGACACGAAGAACGTACACGTGAGTCTAAGTCGTCACAAGACCCTACGACAGCCTCCGGTGAGGATGCGAGCAGTAGTTGGCTCATTGATGCCTGGTGGCGCTTTGTGTAGCTTGATGTGGGCTGCCGGGGCTTTCCTCATGCCCGGAAAAAGTCTGAATTGCAGAAGAAGTGCACAGCACATGCGGTGTCTGAAACAAAGCAGGCTGTTTTGACGGGGAATTTAGACACACACGATCTAAAAGCTTTGTGCAAAGCATTTTTCGGGAATCGTGCAATGACGCTATGTACTCACTTCCGTGTACTGATGCTTTGCCATGCACATGGCTTGAGGGAATCCCCGGCACTAGTATCCTCCGGGAAGCCTCAGCAGCTACTTATCGAGCCTCTATCCGACTCTGTTCCGGGTGTGGTCACCACCGGCTAAGGAACTTTGATGGTTTTCTTTAAAGTGCACAGACTCTTTCTCCACTTCGCCGCAGCAAAGCAGGTCCTTTGATGGTTTAGGGTTCCGGGATTGATGCAAGAGAGGAACTATACAGTGTTACGGCTCCAGGAAACCAGACAGCTACAAGAAGTGTATGGCATCTTGTCCGTGCGCATCTTTGTGGGTTGACCATGAAAAACCAGTATTCCTGAAGCCATTCAAAGTCTGCACCTACTCACATCACTTGTTCAGATAATCCACAACTGCCTGATCCCCAGGCCACTTTCAGTACAGTATGATCTCGCTTACGGACAAGTTCGTGACGACCCCCAACTGCTTGCTGCCCAAGACACTGGGAGTATGGTCTGACACAATAAGATGCTTTCAGCAAGTTGTTTCAAGGATAAAGCGTGCTGGCATGCTTAACGCAGAGGCGCATCATCTGCTTGCACCGCCATCTGCAAAAGCGAGTCTCCTGACAGCTCCGACCAGCAGACTGACGGGTACGACGATTGCTGACAAAGCTTTCTGCGGCTTGCCAGCATCATCTGCACAAACGAGCTTCTCACTCCAATTGCAAGGCGCTGTACTGTCTGTAGCCTCGCCGGCAACCCTACATGAACCATTTTCTTGTGTATACACACACACGTAAATAAATATATATAAATATATCGTACATACACATATATATATAAGTATATTGTGTATATATATATATATATATAGCCTGCCATCCGGAATTGGAATCTGGCTTCCAGCTCCGAAACTCCCGCCGGTTCTGTCCTTCGAAGGTCTTCGCGCTCAAGGAGCCTTTCGCGTGCTGCAGCCTGGCATGTCCAGCACCACTAAGGATTCCTTACGGTTTAGGGTTTAGGGTTTACTAGATCTTTACTTGGAGGGTCGGGGGACTTAGTAAGTAGGTAGTAAGTAGACCTACAAGTACCCTAAAAGGGACCCTAATTGGGGTTATGGTATGTATAAGTCCCAAGAACAAACAGTTACTAAGTCCCCCGACCCTCCAAGTAAGGATCCATGTGCCCAAATAGTATATACTTAGGCCTTAAGGTAGTCCCTATATTGGTACTTTGGGGCCAAAGTATATACTATTTGGGTACGTGGATCCTTTGGGACTGCGACTATGTGAACACTCTTCTCTAGTTCATGGTTGGGATCGTATTAGACATGTACAGTTTTGTTCCTTATTGGGTTTAAGTACCCATAAAAATCCAAAATGTTGCCCAGCTATGGCAAAGTTCTCACTACACCAACTACGCAGAGTCTTGCGGACCCGGCTTTTCAAAGGGTGGGGGCCTCTAGTCAAAACCACACAGCACCGTGCACACTCAAACACTACCTGAAGTGCATACGTACAAGCGGGTGTTATGCGTTTGGAGGCATGAAAGCCCTATAGGACCCCTTGCCCTAACTCCTAAGCCCACTCTAAATCCTCTACCCTATAGGACCCCTTGTGCTTCAAGACTCAAGACCTGGCAGGAGTGACAGCGAGACCACTTCTACGAAGCCACCACTCACCGCGAAGTGGAGCGCTGTCCAACCTGCTTCCTGGATCAGACTAGGCTTTAAGGCTTTCTGGATCTGGAACAAAGATCCTTTATTGAGAAATGGAGCGAAGGAGATGGGGAGAGAGACGGAAAGAGACAGAGAGAGTGCGAGTGCATGGTCTGCGAACAAACAAACACAAACGCACAAACACACACACACACAACGCTGCTCTGCACCTGTGTGTGTACACGTAAAAAGAAGCGTCTAAAGGGACAGATGCATGTCTATTGCTGACTTATCTCTCTGATTACCATACACTTGGGCAATTGCGAGTCTCCACATGCCAAGCCGATGCATCAAAATCGGCTGTAGAGTTCAGAGTCTAGAGTCAAAAGAGTTTAGGGCGCAGGGTGTGCAACTCGGGGTATGCCATGTGCAGCAAACTCCGCATGCCCAGAACACCAAAAACACCACAAACATTGAAAACAAAAACACCTTCCGTCGCTCAACAATCACTCAACAAGTTACAAATTCGAACCGACCCCCATGGCTCGATATTTCATCCTAAGCAACGGCCAGCCGAAACCCAAAAACCTGCACCTTTCAATCAAGCCCCTGAAGCCAAGAGCCTAAATACACAAACATCGTAAGCATCCCAAAAAGTTTTTGGTTTTAAACCCTAAACTCAACCCTTAACGTCCCGGAACCCCTAAAACTCAACACTAAACCTCCCCAAACCCGAATCTCAACCCTACACCCCGAACGGACCGAGGCTGAAGCATCTAGGCTCAGAACTTCAGCCTTCTGGTGTGCCTGGCAAGGATGTGGGTAGTTGTCAAAATTATGGCCCCTTTTTGGGTACCCTAATTATTAGGTCCCGTATTGTAATAAGGACCCAAAAAGGACCCTAATTTTGACAACCACTCATGTATAAGGCTTAGCCTGTAATATGGGGGGCCGCAATGCTTAGAACAGGGTTTTGGGGGCCCATTATACTGTTACTATAACAAGTTATTGGTAGTTATCTAGGCCCCTATAGTAGGGTTTACCCTATACATCTTTGTTGGGGCTCAGGGTTTAGGTTAGGGCCGAGAGATTGAACTGTAAACCATGGACATCCTTGTCTAGGGCTTAGAGGGTTCAGGGTTTGGGATTTAGGGCTTCAAGATATGGTTAGGGTTTCAGTTTAGGTTTCGGGTAGGGTTAGGATACGGATTAAGGGCTCAGGGTTTCGGGCTCCGGGTTTTGAGGTTAGGGCTAGGGTTTGGGTTGGGGCGTACGCGCTGGCTGAAGTCGGGGGTCTTGCCAGTGTGGGGTCCTTTTTTGAAAATGAGGGCTTCCTCATATTAAGGATCCTCGACGGTCTAAGGCTAATTAAGGGATAAGGCTCCAAGGTTGGAGCCACCGCAAGGTCTGTAGGCAGTAGGAGTTAAGACTTCAAGCGGGGTTGCAAGCTTCTTTTGGGTTCCCTCAACCCCAAGACCCTGCACGTGCACTCCTGCGTTAAAACGACTTCATGCGAAGCCTGTTCAGGGTCTACGACGCGTACTAGGATGTGACACCGTTTCATGGGAAGAAGGAAACTCGAAGGTGCATTCATCGAAACTCCTAGGGGCCTTTTGACCACATGCCCTGAAGCAAGTGAGTTCGCACATGCAAAAGCACCCTCTGGGGCTAGAGAATGACCTAAAGAAGAACATGTACAAAAACAATGCGCCTCAGGCCACTTGACTCCTGCACATAATACAGAACATCCAAGCCGTAACTAACGCCCTCATTACTCGCATTGCCTCCTACCCATCATGAGCCCTCGCCGCCCTTAACCCATTCGCAAAAAGGAATAAGCAACCCTAACCTTGAACCCTAAACCCTAAACCCTATACACCCTAAACTCTAGACCGTCGCCCTAGAGGAACTGCTTGCCAACAGCCGGCCAGGGTCTGCACAACGTCGACCCGGCCGTAGCCTGGGTCGGCGAAGGGGTGCGGAACGAGGGCCTAAGGCCCTGGGCACAGGGTATACCTTAGAAGGCCCCCCCACCCTGTAATAGTGGTATAATAGGAATATAATAGGACCCTAATATAATCCTTATAGTCCCTATTTCACGGTGGGGGGGGGGGCCTTTAAAGGTATATATATACCTATGGTCTCCATCGTAGTTCCTTATTTTGGTTTAACCAATTATATATTAAGGATCCCAAAAGGTGACCCCCGAAAGCAACTACAATGGAGACTACAGGTAAGGAGGCAGGATTTACAATGGCTTCTCGCTCAGACTCTCATGAAAGTAACCCCGAATGCAACCCTAAACCCCTAAACCCACACGGCATAGACCAAGCCCCATAAGCTCCAATCATGTAAGGAAACCTTGTCAGCTTCAGGATTTGGGATTTGGTCAGGAAGCAACTCTTGTGGTCTTCGGCATACTGGTCCCTCCATCCCCACCTACTTGCGATGCATACCCTGATGCTTTTTGCCTCCTACTTTGCAAGGACGAGGCCCGCATTGCAGGGTAGCTGATTGGGCAACCAAAGCACCCTGGGGCCCATGAGAATGCAAAACCAACTCTAGGCTCCAGGCTTGCGGCCCACGAGATGGCTGTCCGATGACCTCAGAATCACAGGGCCCAGAAAGATGAAGATAGGCTTTAGGGGCGTGGATTTGATTTGAAGACTTGTCTTAAATAGGGTTAGGGTGATTTGCTCTCAATCCTTGCGCACATGCTTCGACTACATTGCTTTCACTAAGGAAGTTGCTATACGTTACATATACAGTTGCTTTCTTCCTCTTTTTTCCATAAATCTGCACACAATCAGTATCAGTCATTGTGTAAATATGTGTGTCTGAATACATATATATATATATATATATGAGTTTCCGAAACTAGGGGGCCCTAATGTCGTACCCTAAATAATAGGATTCTTAATACAAGGACCCCAAAATAAGGTGTCCCTATTTTCGGAAACTCCCACATATATATATATATATATAAATGTATGTATGTGCATAATCCCGTCCAGGTGCACAGCCAGACCCCTAGCCAACTTTGTCGAACCCTTTTCCAGGGTCTGGAATGGTCGGGCTAAGCGTCGACCCCCCATTCAAGACCCCAAATGATATCAGACCCTGGATCGACATAAACGAAGATTGGTATGACAGCTCTGATCATCTCCCGCTTCCACTCGCTCCCATCTGTCCGCGGTAGCTAGAGGCGGCCAAGCTTTTCAGGACCTCTCCTGGTTGGTGTGGTCTGAGTGACTCATGATACTAAGGTCATGCCACGCTGTCCACCCCCAGGCCCCTACGAAACTCCTAAACACTGAATGCAGAAACCCTGAACCCAGAGACCCCAAACCCATGACCCCCGAACCTAGACACTGACTCAGTCACCGAAGCCCTGCTGTACCCAGAAGCCCTTAAGGCCCTAAGCCCAGAAACCCTGCACCCGGCTCGAGAATGGAGGTTTGCTAGCTGCTAGCAGATACTCCTAGAGTCTGGTAGTGCAGAAGCACTACCAATGATCAATCTTGTTCTTAGGGATCCTTGTCATAATTGTACTATAATGTACTGCTACAGTAATCGTTTCAGTGCAGAGAGGGAAGTTCCGTTGGTGTTCCCGGCTTTCTGCCTCCCTTAGCAGGAACTGCGACTGCGGGAAGCCACATGACGGTATGCGCAATGCAACTTGCTAACATAGGGGCCTTCATAATTAGAACAGGGCTCTGGGCTTCTTTATAGTATATCTATAAGGGGAAACCCCTTAGGAATGATGTTGATCATATTTTTGAGCTTCTCTATTATCCAAGGGTAAAAGGAAGGACCCTTAATAAGGACCCCTAGGTATATACCCTTAATATAGCCATTATATACCCATTATAGGGTAGGGGTCCCTATTAAGGGTCCCTCCTGTTCCCCTTTGAATATTACGGTTGATGATATAAACTACCTTAAGGACCCTAAACTATGGGAATTATGGTATATTCCTTATTATGGGTCATGCAGGATTTATATCATCAACCGTATGTCCTGCCGCTTCGTAGGCTCCCGGACTGGCTGGGTCTCGTGCGTTCACCTCGGCTTACAGGAGTCGACGGGTCCATTCCTTTAAGGGTCCCTTTAAAGGGATCTATAGGGGTTCTATAAGGGTATAGGGTTTAGGGTTTACTTGGAGGTTTAGGGGTAGTTATAAGTAGGGTTATAAGTCCCCTAGTATGGGTTATAAGTATAATTATCCTACTTATAACCCTACTTATGACTACACATGTACTCCCAATGCTGTATATACTTCGGCCCCAAAGTATCATTATATAGGGAATACTTTCCGGCTAAAGTCTATACGATTTGGGTACATGGGCCGTTAAACCCTAAACCCTAAACCCTTATGGCACCCTTATAGGAGGGTAGGAGTCGGAGGAGCAGTAGTGCAAAGCTCAAAAGGCTGGGGGGGTTCCTGAGTGTAAGCAGCGCCCGGCGCTTTCCCAGAGAAGGATGCCGCCATCCAGAATTCACCACCCCCAAAGAGCCCCAGGAACGCTTCCGTCAAGAGTCCAGAAGGGTTTAACTAGAGTCTTCATTGTGGTTATTTTTTGGTTCAACCGTAATTTAATAGTTAGGATCCTATGAGGTAACCGCAAAAAGGAACTACAACGGAGACTCTAGGACTCGTGGTAGGGCTTGCAGGGATCCAAACAGAACACAAAAGGTATAAATCTAGCTTCCTGCGGAAACAAAGGTCAAGCATTGGGGTTGTATGGGGACTACAGTGCCCCAAGAAGGTTTAAGATTGCCGACCCTTCTGCTAAGAAGACCATTGCATGGCCAAAGATGGGTTCCTTTCCAGGAATTAAGTTTGGTCTCCTGTGCGGGATCTGGGAAGGAACGAGAACCCCGCATCCTCGCTCACATCCGCAAGCCCCGAACCCTAAATCCAAAGAAGAAACAAAATCCGCGAGAATGCGCCAAAGCCACAAATCCTCGATGTCCAGGGCTCGTATACAATCTGAAACCCCTAGCCTTACCTTTGCTTAGTAGGGAATGGAAGAATGGTAGTAATAGTAGTTATAATTGTACCCGATTCCTCCATTCCCTACTAACCAAAGGTAAGTAGCCTCACAAGCCACACAACAACTTGTTCCTCGGATTCCCCTTTCTGGAAGCGACTGGGGCAGCCGCAAAGGCGCAGTGCTTCAACCTCGGGAGCTATGCACATCCCAGTGCGAGCATAATATAGGGGCCTTAATAATTAGAATACGGTTTTGGGGCCCATAGTACTATAAATTGTAATAAGGAGCCCGCAAAATAGTATAGGCACTACAGCTTCACATGTCCTAATTCTGGGTTCAAACTTCCAAAGTTAAGGGTTTTGTTTTCCTAGACCCCCCAACCCTCTAATCTATCCCAAATGCCCACTATTGAGGGGCACAGAGGCTGTATTACAGAGCCTTTGGGGGGGTTCTGTTTTCGTATTTCGCACACCGCCTTTTTCAGTAGCCTCTCGCCTTTGCAGATAAAAACTTCGAGCCTTAGGGAGCATAGGCTCTCCCAGGAGCGGGGTGACCCTCACAACTATACTAGCCCCTGGTTGGGACAGTGTAAAGAATCTAAACTTCTATTCCTTCTTGGTTTAAGTATCCATGAAAGTACAAAATGTTCCCCAGCCATGACAAAGTATTCCGTATACCGGGAACGCCAGTGTGCCGAGGGTTTGGGGTTCGGGGCTCCAAAGCTTTCCGAAGCTCGGGAAGCTAAGAAGTACCTAATGTAGGAACCTGATTAAGACATCCTGGGCCTAGAACCCAAAAATAGTAGGATCCATGTTATAAGGAACCCTGATAAAGGCCCAAGGTTTCTTGATCAGGCTCCTACAGTAGAGTCTGCAAATTTAGTTTCTTCTTGTGGTTACCTTATGGGATCCCAACTATAAAAAACCGAAGGTAAGCCAGCCTATCAAAAGAGATTGGGGTCGGGGGTTTTAGGTTTTAGGGTTGTTAAGTAACGATACGGGTTCCCATAAGGGCTCCTACTTCTCTAGTTGAAAAAACATCGAAAAGGGTTTAGGGTGCTCAGGGTTAGGGCTTAAGGCTAAGGTGAGGATTTCATGTGCCGCTCGCCTAATACAACCCTCAATCCGCAGCCTTAAGCTACCCCAGAACGATGTTTGGGGCTTTAAAGTTTTTTTTTGAGCTCCTTTTTGATAGACTTTAGGGTTCAGGGTTTGCAACTACATGTCTCTGCCTTAAAACGTATTATTGCTACCTCGCAGGGTGCTCACAGGGACTTGTCCAAGGAAGAGGAACAGGGCTATGTTGTGATGTCATGTGCATCACTACAGCATATGATGCAGGACGGAAGGGATGTAAGCCTCCAACTCCAAGACCACAGTCCTAATAAAGGGCAACCATAAATGTCGTCCGAAGATGCACACCAGCTACTAGAGGAGTCCGAAAATCTAGTATTGATACGCCGTTGCGGTCCCATGTACTCATATATTTACCCATAGGCCCCAAAGTAGTTCCTTTTGGGATTACCGGATAGGATTCTACATATGAACCTCAGAAAGGAACTACTTTGGAGCCTTAGGGTATCGTCACATGGGGGGAGACGCCAAAACCGACAGTTAGGGCCCCAACAAAGCACATAAGCAACATTTTTCGATAGGGATATCCCTCTAAAATACTTATGCTTATGTGCTTTTTCGGTCCCTAAACCGTTCCGGCTCTGTTCGGAGCCCGACGCTTGCCGCACGCCGTGCCAGTCGGCGCGAGCGGCGGAGAGGAGGAGGCGAGCCTCGAAATTTCAGAGTTATCCATTAGAGCTCCTTTGCAGTTCTTTGTCTTAGAATATCCAGTATATATATATATATGTATATATATATATATGTTATGCATACATACATATCATGTGTATATACGTATATGCATACATATCATCTCTCAGCTCTCTCTACATGTGGAAAGGGACCACAACTGAGACTATAGTCACAGAGCACTGCACAGGCTTTGGGCTACAGTGCTGCAGAGTTTTTCCCAGATTCGGAAACAAGCATTGGCTCCTTCCATGGGTCGTGCTCATAGGTTGGGATTCAGGACTGGGGTTTTGCTGAATATCCGGTGCCGACTACGATCCGAGCTGGGATGTCAGGGCATGCAAAAAGACCATGTGCAGGATTCTTAAAGTTCGGTGTCTCTCACTGGGTCCTCCATCAACAATCCTATTATTTGGGGTCGATGTTATACGGAGGTCTCCATATCTATTAAAGAGAACCTACTTTATACAAAGCCCTTCATCACTGAACACAAGGAAGGGGCCCGGCAGAAAAGTGGCAGCCGAGTTCAAATATCGCAAGCTGACTCTAGGTCTGCAGCTACCCGTCCACGAGGTTACAAACCTTTTGCTAAGTAGCCCCTTTCTTGAGTCCAGCTCTAAACCTAAAAAAAGAAGCTTCACGAAATAAAGTAGGGCTAGCACAGGAACCCTTTTTGTTTCTTTCTACATTTCTACGCATATGGGTGGTTGTCAAAAACGTTGGTCCCTTTTTGGGTCCTTAAAAAAGGAGACCATAATTTTGACAACCGCCCATGTGTTAAGTAGCCCAACAGCCATCTGTAGGCACCTGGAGCCCTAGGCTGCAAAGGCTGTGGTTCCCTTCTTCGGGTTTGGGACTTCTCGGAGTTTAATAACAGCGGAATAGGGGTGCTTTAATGTAGGGGTCTTAACAATTAGAATAGGGTTTGGGGCTCCTTCATAGTAGCATGGTTTTAATAGGGAGCCCTAAAAAAATTGCAGTTATTGAAGCTTCTATAGTATGGGCTTCTACTAAGTTTATGGGGCTGCGGACGGGGGCTTCCCCTTTTCAGAGAGTGGATCCCCTGGAGTGCTTAAGGGGATTAAACGGTTTACAGGGCTCCACAAGGGATGTAGCAGTCTCCGAGACTGAGAGCCCCGTCGCCTGTATAGTAGGCTACTGGGTTATGACCAGTATCGTTCAAGGAACAGAAACCCCGGCGTGGGCAACCGGGCCGCTAAGGACAGCCAAAGTCTTGCACTGCATGGTTTTGAGTGCCACAGCTTCAACCATTTGGGGAAAGCAGAAATCAGTGTAGAGGTCTGAACACTCCGCCAATTGATCGCATCTCCGTTTAGCCCAGATAAACTATGTACTGCAGATTACTGTAGTATGCTGCACAATTGGTCTGCACTCTGTTTACCGTGGTTGCATGAAGACGGCTATACTATGTGACGCACTCCCTTGCGGTCCGGGCACATTGGCCCCATCTGCCGTGCGCAGCACTTCCGACACCTGCCCTTGGAGCTGGGATCGTTGGAGGCTTAAGGTAAAAGCCAGAAAGTTGGAATATGATTACCCTAAACCCTTTATGGTAAATTATAAGGTATCCTACCCTGAAACCATATTCCAACTTTCTGGAGTTCCCTTTAGTGTTGTCAGTTTAGGGCATTGGAGCCCGTCGGTCAGAACAAGGCCAGAAAGGCCCAGCACTTCGCATCCCCGCTCGCCCAAACGCTCTAACGCGAAGTAGATCTTATCCCCCAGGTACATTTTTTGCTTAGGGTTTAGGATGGTTTAGGGTTTAGGGCCCCAGGTACATTAGGGTTTAGGGTTTCTTCCCACCCGCCCAGCTTAAGCTTTAGATCTCGAAGTTCGCTGCAATTGCACGAATCGGACAACTGATCCCAGGACTGCCTTGAAACCCTAGGTCAGAACCAGGCGCTGGATAAAAATGTTCGCATCTCTGCTTCAGACACGAAGGGGGCGAAGGAGAGGACAGACCAACAAAGAACACCTAACAGCGATATGCAAGGGGGAGCAAGATCGCGGGGTGATAATACGCGATACCCTAAACCCTAAATCTAAACCCTAATAAGATACAAGCACTATATATGGTCTCCAAGCCGGCTGAGCGAAAACAACTGAAGCAGAAGAAGCTGATTGGAAGCCATAAAGCTGTACAGAACACAGGAGGGACACAGGTCTTCCTAGAACTAGATGTAGAAATATGCAAAGGCAAACACATCTCTCTACATACGCACCATCACATGCAGCCATGACTGATGAGGGTCGGTACAAGAACCCCCCCAACCAAAATAAAACAAGGCGAGTTACAATTCGAGTGCTGCGTGTTGTCCACCTTCCATGCGCAGTCCTGCAGCACCTGCGTGCTCGCTCCATACCTCTGATGGACAAGGGGTTTAGGGTTTGGGGTTTAGGGAATCCGGGTTCTGCTCGCACGCTCGCACTCAGCAGGCACGGCTGAGGTGTCTGCACACAGGTTGCTACTCTAACACATGTGTGTGTGTGTGTGCGCGCGTCAATTGCGCTCGGAAACAATACCAACTACAGGGAAGCAAGTAGTAGAACGTGTAAGGACCTGAAATGGGTTTCGGTCTAGGTTTTCCTTAGGATTTGTTACTGGGGGGGGGGGGGGCAGTGATCTCCGACTACATCTGCTAATTGTGACCACAAAGGGTCCCAGGTACGTAACAATAAAAAAGCTCGCCTGTTGGAGCGTTGTAGGGCCCTTCGTATCGGCATTCACACATCGCTTCGTGTCAGTCCTGTTGACGATTTTGGCTTTTTGACTTGATGCCGTGTCTTTCTTTATACCTGAGTGTCCGGGTTGGGGAATGGTGTTGGCTTCCCTTGTTGCTGAAGTGGGTGCTGCCTTGGACACATGCATTCACCGAACATCACACATTGAAACACATGTCGAACACCACAATCGTTTGCGGCTCGGGTCTACATTTTCCACACGAACGACAAATCAACACCAATCTCGTGCCCTGCAGATGTTCCACACATAGTTCGAGAAAGCTACCAAAAGTCTAGCAACACGAACAACGAAAACTACAGTAGCACCAGCAGCTGCAGCAATTCCACACATCCGCGGAAAAAAGCGAGACCAACAAGAATCATCTCGGGATAGAGATTGCTGCAGCTCATGGCTCCATCGACGATCACTTCCTATGGTCTCCATTGTAGTTCCTTTTTGGCTTAACCAATTTTGTAATGAGGATCCTAAAAGGTAACCCCGAAAAGGAACTACAATGGAGACTACAGGTGGGCCAAGATGCGGCAAAGAGGTGCCAACAGCCAGCGATGACGAAGAAAGAGTTGCTTGTCCAGCTGCAGAATTACATAAGTGCTATCTCAGTTCAAGAGACATATCACTGACAAAGCCCCACAACCCAAAATATCGGGGCCGTTACAATTTAACACTCTTATGTAAAGCCTCTTCCACCCCCCGCCCCGCTTTCTTACATATGCGCGATATTCTCTCTGAGGCCCCAGGCTTAAAGAGGAGCTGCATGAGCGAAACCTTGGCAAACTTCGGCCGTTCCGGAAAGGTTGCAAAACCTAAACACCAGGAATCCTAAACCCCACATCTTTTCTTAAGCCCTAAACACAAAACCCCTACCTTGCGCCCCCAAAATCCTGCCTCTTAGGCTTCTGGGTTAGCTCACGGTCCCAGACCCCCGGGAGGATCTAGAAAGTAGATCCCTTAGTTTGGGGCCCTATACTACTAGGGGTACCTTATAGGAACCCCATTAAGGCTCTTAGGGGTTCTATCGGCACCGCGAGACTCCTTTTGATCCCATTAACTTGGCTTCTAGCACCGAGCAACATCGCCCAATGGGCCCGAGCTCAACTGTAAATCTGTGAAGAAGAGCTGAGTTCCTTCGCTATGTATATATGCATATCTACACGTCCTGTTTATGTAAGCAAGTAAGTCGACATGTATATATATATATATATATGTATATAGACAGATATACATACATATACGTGTCTATATATATGTATATCTATATAGAGAGAGAGATATACACATATACATACATATGTATACACACAAACAAACCGCAAATGACAAAAAGAGCACGATGAAACCATGTGAGTCATTTCAAATCCCTGTATAACCTCTGCATCGACCCAGAAGCCATTTTTTTCAGCATGGGCTGTGGTTGTGTGCCAACGAACACTCCTCAACCGCAGGGCCTTTCAGTTTCACGCAGAGGCCCTCAACCCTAAACCCTGAACTTGAATCACCGGAATTGGCGAGCCAAGGTACCGATCCGTGCACGGCAGCCTGAGCATTCGGCATGACGGAGTCTTCAACCCGAAACCCTTTGGTTAGGAAATTAAGGGCTTAGGCTTAGGTGTATCGTCCATTTCCCTAAACCCCTGCCTAGAAACACTCGGGACCACATCAAGGATGCAGGGCTTAGGGTGAAAGCTGCCGGGGTTTAGGGTCGTGGCCTTGGCAAGTTGCACTTCGGGCTTATTGAAACTTTGGGCACTTCGACATGCGACAGCCAATAAGACTCCAAGACGCACAGTGAAGAAAGTATGTGAAAAGAACTGGTAACCATGGGCGCTCTGCAACTCTGAAACAGAGAGACGCACACTAAACCCTCTCTATGTCTGTGCTACCGGTCTTAATGAGGGCAACATGTGGGCGCAGCCACAGGTGGCTGGTCTTGAAGTGACACTAAACCCGCCAAGGATGGGGTTACCAAGCAATCATACAGAGAAGGCATGTATGAGCTATTCCCGCTCTCCCACTCCCGCTCTTTATTCTCTCTCTCTCTCTCTCTCTCTCTCTCTCGTGCTTCTCTTTATCTCTTTTGCCTCTCATGCTAACCCTAAACCCCTAAAGCCTGAACCCCTTGAACCCTGAAGCCCCCTAAACCCTCTAAGTCGATCCCTGCAAAACCACGCGTGCCGGCTGCATGCTGTAATTCTGAAGCTACTTGGAGGTTCTTGGGTAGAAAGATGGAAGTAGAGTTATAAGTCCCCTAATAGGAGTTTTAAGTATAATAACCCCACTTATAACTACCCATGAACCTCCAAGTAGTCCAGAGCAATACAGGGGCCTTAATGATTAGAATAGGGTTTTGCGGTTCATTGTACTATACTTATAACAAGGAACCCCCCCAGAATAGTCTTGGTATTTATTTGGGCTGCCATAGTATATCATGTTACATGTGAAGTTTAACTAATTATGACACTCCATAGTATATCCTGCTGCCTGTAGCATTTACGGTTTGGTCAATTTCGGTTGGTAAATCCCCTACAACTGAAGCGGATACTATACCGTCCTTGGTATTGACACCGGCAACGGTCGCAACGACTATCTGACCAGAGTGGGAACGATCCAAAAGGTTGTAATCTGGACTGAGCGACGTGGCAAACGAGGTTACTGCAGGTAGTGGTTAGAGTAGGGTTTTCGAGCAGAGCATCGTCGGCCGATAACTAGGAACCCAACGAAAAAGTAGGCATAGTCTTTCAGGCTTCTGCATTACGGTTCAAGGTTCTAAGTAGACTTGGCCCCTTCGTACCAGGCTCGGGCTCTTGGGCCATTGGAAATTAAGAAAACCAGCCCCTGAATTTATTATTTTGGTTTCTTTTCCTATGTGACAAAGCCTTCTTTAAGCACTTCTTAAGCCCATACAAAGCCTCTCGAGCCCTCCAAAGCTGTTATCAAGGCTTTATTTGAAATTGGTTGTGGCTGATATTGAACCCCGTTTCTCAGGCACCATGTCAAGCTCCCCGACATCCTAAACAAATCAAGGAAACCCTAAGCGGCTATCTTATCATAGATGTTCTAGGTCATGACAGTAACCTAAAGCCGTAAACCGATCAGAGTAGAGCTGCCCAGAGTAGCGCGCTCCGGCCCTCATCATTCGTGTGGTTTGCCTGTGCGCCTTCCTGCGTCGCAAGGGCTTATTCGAGCCCACGGCCCACGGACCACTGCTTAGTTTAGAGTTTGGGGTTTAGGAGTTCATCCACACTTGAAGTGACAGGACAGGCAAATGCAGCACTTCCGGTGTTGACACAACCCTACACCCTAAACCCTTTTTGCAGCAGGCCTCAAACCCTAAACCCTGAACTCCCGATACAAGTTGACACAACCCTAGATGGCAGTTTCCAAAAATCAGGGGTACCATATTTGGGGGTCCCTATAATAAGGATCCTACTATGTAGGGTACTATATAAGGGTACCCTATTTTCGGAAACTCCCAGATAGAAATTGAAACCTTAGGCCTGGTTCAAGCTTGAACACTCATCTGTCCGGTGCTTAGTAGGGAATGGGGGAATGGATCCCTATAGTAGTCCCTATATAATCCCCAATAATCGTCTCTATAACCCATTCCCCCGTTTCCTACTAGGAACCAGACAGTCATGAATGGCTGACCTCCTTCTCGCGTCACTTATAATCAAACGGCTCTTTCAAGGTCTGTCCGGTCTTTCGGGAACCTAGACAGCAATTCTCAACTCATGTCATGGGGCCCTCGAACAGCAAGAGTAAAAGCTTAGGGTCTAGAGCCAGTTTGTTTAGGGTTTAGTATCGGATCCTCTCTTGACTCGCATCTGCAACCCGTGGAATTTGGAACATAACTCCGACACCTAGGCACACACCAAGATGAGTGGCTTTAAGGCATTGCGCGACGACATCGCTGTCGTTCTGCTGGGCTCCGAGAATCCTTATCATGCTTCTCAGGAGTCTCAGACAGGTCTCACACCCTACCCGCTAGCAGCAAAGTTATTGTGCGATGATGATGCCGTCGATGAGGTGCACGATATCTGTGGCGGCCGTACCGGTGGTGATAGTGATGAGGAACATAAGATGGCTTGTTCTGGTGCTACTTGATTGCTCGGAGGCTCATGCCACCGTGACGGTGGAGGTGGCGGGTGTTCATGATATCATCGGTGATGTTCTTCTTCTCCACAGCCGTTCTGCTGGTTTGTATGATTCGGGACTCTCCGAGCCACAGGACACTACTTCCTGCTGAGAGCCTCAGTCAGGCTCAGAACGTCTGGTTTCAGGTTGGAGCTCATAACGTGATTTGCAGTGAATTCCAGGCTCACCGTTGAAGGGTCGGAGAATAAACAAGGAAACTTGGTGAACGACCCGTGCGTATGTCTATGGTCTATGGAACATCGCACCATGTCTGCAACAACTGTAGCTTGCGCACCGACACAATATGACACCATCCAGTGGCATTTCTTGAATTAGACTCTGACGAGACAGTGGCAGTAAACGATCGTAAGCCATCACATCGCCCTTCCGTAACCACCAGCACCGCTACGACCACCATCGCCGGACAACCACCGCAATCATTCCTCACACGTGCATGGCTATTCTGACTTGTTACAACGCAACAAGACCCTTTGCATAAAACAGATACTTCCAACAGTGCACCGCCAGAGATGAGCCTGGAGGCAACATAAGGTCCTGAACAACTAGACCCGGGTTCGGAGAGGTCTCTGGTTTTCTTTAGATACATAAATAACCCCAAGGAATGATGTGAGCAATAATTCCGATTATTACCAACAGTTCAGACGCCTACAAGATGCACAGTAGGCATTGCAACGACGCCCATCGAACCGTTCTCACGGGAACCAATTGCAGCTTCCAGACTCAATCGTACAGTGAGAAACAACAGTTGCAACTATGCTCTATGGCCACTCGGAGCAGCGCAAAACCAGAAACTTCTAAAGCCCCAAGCCCCAAACTTTACCTTCCCGGAGGATTTTAATAGTTCTTAACACCCAGTATGTACACAAATTCCCACAGGGTCCAAGTACCACTATAGTGGGTATTTTGGCCCCCAAAATACATACTATACCATTATATACTTGGACCCTTTGGGATCTTCCAAATACCCCGAAAGCCAAAAACATCCGAGGAGCAATTTCTGGTTGAGCCGCGCGGAGGTCTGGCGCATGTGGCAAGACATCCCAAGCTTTGTGTTACACTAACCTGGACCCAAAAGTATGAAGAATAATAGCCTTTTATACGGTTTGGGCCATTATTTTACCTACAATGGGGGGTCTAGGAAATTCTAAACCCAAACAATGAACCCAAAAAACGCGGTTTACGCTCTCGCAACTCGGACAAGCCAGAACCTCAAAAAGGGTGTAGGGTTATGATTATGCACATCTAATACTTAAACCCTAAGCCCGAAACGCTTCCGAAGCCACATTGAATGGTTGGTTGTCGAAATTATGGTCCCTTTTTGGGTCCCTATTATTATAATACGGCACCTAGTATTTAGGGTACCCAAAAAGGGACCCTAATTTTGGCAACCACCCACATATTAAGGACTTTGCGTGCGTAACGGTCTCGAGCTGGGAGTGGTACCTGTCGATTTGGGCGGTTGTGAAAATTAGGGCCCCTTTTTGGGTACCCGAAATATTAGGTGCCGTACTATATTAGGGACCCCAAAAGGTACCATAAGACGGACAACGACCCATTTCGGAGTCAGGGGCTTTCTGGCTTTCAGAGGACGGTGTGGTAAGTCG